CTCTTTCTGTGGGACAAAATCATATTTATTCAATTTTCGATTGTTTGCATATTTTTGAATCATTTTTTACTAACAAAAAACGCACTACAATCAGCTAGGTATACAGACAGATGTATGAAAAGAGAAGTGTTAAGCAGAAACTGAAGAAATTTAGGTAGAATGATTTTCTTGCAGATATCTGGACATCTTCTGCCGTGTCTTCTATCCGCTCAGTTTTGTCCTGTTTTTAATTATGTACTACTTTGTATTCACTGAAGGACGACAAGATGATTGCATAAATCGACGAACGCGGTAGGAATGCCCACCCATTTTGCGGACCCTCGGAAACCGGAGCAGTCAGAGCTTCATCGGTAACCAGAACCGATTTTTGTGAACAATGACGGCTGCGCAACGATCTCTTCAGGGTGTGGAATCTGCCAATTTCGTCCATTTTGTTTTCTTGCCAAAGGCTGTTGTTATTCGTTGTAATAAAATAAGTTACTTTGCTTTTGGATCAATAAATCCTGATATTTTCACCATAAAATGTCCTCAAAGAAACTTCAAGTGCGCTCAATCAAAGCAACACTTTAGGACGTAAATCAAACGCATGGCGTATACCAAAAGAGGACCGCGAACAACAACTTCATCAATATTATCTTTATTAGCTTTACATTATTATTTACTGAATAGTCAACACGTAGCGAGCAAATATATACCAAATATAGCAGTTCGAGCTGTCTCCAACTGAGGAATGTTTGACATGTACACGCATAACCGACTCAAAATTTCTCAACAGTTTCATCTACCGTAACCACCAGGGCGACCGAAGCTCACAGCGGGTTGTGACTGGTTCTCCTCCTCAACTTCAAGTCGTGGCTGTGATCCGGGGTTCACAAGCAGTATCGAGTCCACATTCTGGCATACACAAACTCCTGGCTCACCAGGTGGTCCCTGTCCGCCCATCGGTCCCTCTGGTCCGGGATATCCTGCCTCGCCGGTTTCACCTGGTACTCCTGGCCAACCTCGTTCTCCTTGTGGACCTGTCATTCCACCGCGGCCGGGTAATCCAGGCATTCCGCTGGCTCCAATAGGTCCAGGCGGTCCTTCGTCACCAGGTGGGCCTTCGCGCAACTCTCCTTCTGGTGTTGGTCCTTTGTCTCCAGGCGCTCCCGGTCCTCCCTTGTACCCAGGTGGTCCTTTTGGTCCAGGGTCTCCGGGTGCACCATCTTCACCATCCAATCCTTTCTGAAATGGCGATTAAAATTAGGGCTTTTCATCCCTCTATTATTTCTTTAAATTGAATAGCCTACCTCTCCGGGTGGACCAGGTGGGCCAACATCTCCAGGAAATCCTGGCCATCCTTTGATTCCAGGAGGGCCTTTCGGGCACGGGCGGCACGGTGGTGGTTCGCGCATAATGTTCATTGGACACGTTTGGTTGGGCGTGATTCCAGGCATACCAGGCTTACCCGCCTGTCCTGGTGTACCCGGTGTACCAGGTGTACCAGAAGGACCACGAGGTCCAGGTGGGCCAGGAATGCAGCAACCTGAAACAATATTTCATACACTTCTTTTGTGATTTGCTGCTTCAGTCACTCACCAGGGCATTCTGTTTCAAGGGGCGTTCCAGTTACCTCGTCACCATAGGCGGCGCCTCTCGTGCCAAACCCACTACGGCGTGTACGATTGAGAGGCATCTTTCCATATTCTAGTTCTATCAGGGCTTCTTGATTTGAGCGCTGAAAAACAATGTTGGATTGAGCTCATAACTGTTTTCACCATCATTGAGAACTTGCCAAACATTACGTTTTGTAGAAATACCGATCAAGTGTTGGGTAAGTTACGTAGAGAGAAAAATTTGGCCATAGGGGCCAATTTGGCCGAATTGGCGTGTGGCCATTCCTGGGTGAGGCTCTACTGGCTGCGCTGCGATCAGTAAAAGTCTTATGATCAAGCCAAGGCTAGCCTTATTTCACAATTACTGAAGGGATAGATGTACCGCGCAGAAGCGATTGAGTGGTCAGCAAGCGCATTGCGGCATGAACGTATGAGGAAGATCCCTTGCTCTGGCCCGATCTAAGGCCAAACAGAAGTCATGGTCGGTGCTTGCGTCTGGCTAGTCATTGTGCTTTCTCATCCACTCGGCGATCCCCAGCGCATATCTCTTGGCCCGTAGCGCTCAAAATGGACTGCAAAATAAATGGTTTTATCCCAGCCGTTTCCCAATTTCCTGCAGGTTCTTTCTTCTTTGCTGAGCCGCTTGCCATCTACAGTTTTATTTTGAACACCACCACCCAGATTACGCAAACGCATGGAGTGTGCTTTTGAAAGCCAAAAAATGATGAAGCTCTCGGTCGTTCTTAGAGCTGATAAAATGGCAGCACTCTGTTCGGAAAAGTGGATATTCTGCAAGAATGCGTATAGCTGAAATATTGCTGCCTCCGCGACATAGTTATTGGGGCAAAAGTCTACTAAACATTGTTGAAGCTCCAATCGGAGACATTTCCCATAAAGGCGATCACCGTGCGAAGCAAGGTTCCGATAAGCAATAACTAACTTCGCAGAAATCCATTTCCTGTTCGACGTATTCGATGGTCGTTTGAACATTGTTGTACATCAGTGGAAGTGTTATGCATAGTATCGTGACGGAAAGTACACTGAAAATCTCCAAGGTAGTAATGTGGTAAAAAGACTGCTATTATCAGCATCATTCGATCAGTCCCCACTGAAATGAATCGCTCTTCTTACCAGGAAGGTCTTACAGGACATGGAGCGCCTTTTTGAAAACGGTTTTTGCATGTTATAGGGGCACATGCGTGGAGCATAAAACTGATTATTATTTTTTCTGAGCGGCCCTGGGACTGCCGGATAAAGGGCAGAACAATGAATCATTCATTGAGAATTCACATGAGTAAAGTAACTTTCCCATTTTCAATATGCTTTACAGCATCTTTCTCGAACTTCGAACTCTGCGTTAAATAGATACATTTTGGAAGATTTTTGTTTACCGAATAAGCTTATGTAGGCATACATGAGCACAGAAAATGGATTCAGAGTAGTGCAAAAATTTGTCATCAGTAGGGATCGAACCACAAGCCGTGGCTTCCACATGCTTTTTAGCATTCCCAGAGCCGTTCAAAACAAGCTTTTTTCAATTTTATGCTCCCTGC